TCTTCCTACAACTTGAATCTAAGCAGATTACCCTCAGGCTCCCCTTGACTTAAATAGAGTTTGCAATCTGGCAGCCTCAAATTCAAGCTATGCAGTATATACAGCATTTTGAGAAAATGAGAATGACTGTATTTTGTTCATTCTAAGAGGCACATTTTTTTCAGATGTTAGTATCTCCAATGGTAGATGTGTTTTAAAATTGACAGAATGTCAGTTTGATTGGTAGTGGTTTTCTTTCTTGCTGGTACGTAAAGTAGTGACATATCCTATAACTGATGACATATTAAATTTGCCGAAATATACTTGTGCCAACATTTTAAAATAGGAAGATCATGCATGAAAGTATGTTTAGCTTCTCTTGAAAAATTGCACCAGGCAACACTGGGCCCAAATCTCTGGATGGAAGCCTGAGATGGAGTTACCAGTAAGTAGCAGCAGCTTCATTTAGACAAAAGCTCTCTGCATCTCCCAGAGTTGCAACCCAGACTGCTGTATTCATTTTGATTATCTGCCTCAGTGAATTAAGCATTAAGCACTGATGTTCACAGTTGGCATATCCCATCCTGTTAATGTCTCCAACATCTACTCCATACACCCTCTGCCCTCCAATCTCAGGAAACATTACTCACATATAAAATGGTCCCGTGTTCCCCAAAATGCCTTTCCTCACCTTTAATGCTCTCTGAAATATTGCTTGGCATTCCCAGGCAGAACTAATTTCTTTCTGGACTCTAGTAGTGTGTGGGCATACCTCTGTGCCTACGCCCCTTTGCTTGAAATTATTTGTGTGCATACTTGTGTCCTTTAGCGCACTGGGAAGCTGGTAGGGGAATCATCCTACTTTATTTATTCATCATGGTCTCTGCCTCCTAGGTGGAACATACTTAACAAGTATCTGTTGGGTAAAGAATGGATGGGCTTTACCTTCTGATTGGGATCTCTGTGTTTTGAGTTTTCCCCATGGACAGAAAACTAAGAGAAGTCAGAGGGAACATAAGTGTTTTCCTCAGTGTTCTTGGGTTTACAGCAGAGGATGCTGCTTCTGATTATGATTTAGAAAGGACCTTGCAGTCAAGGTCAGCCTACGGGAACTAATATCTACAGACCCAAAGGCACTAAACAAGAGCCAGCTCTGTGAAACATTTTTTAAAAATATAATTTTAAATTAGCACACAATTGACTTTTATTATATTACTGTTCTGTGAATTCTAACAGATTTGTGTAAATACCACCATAATCAGGAGAACAGAACACCACCCCCCCAAAGTTCCCTCCTGTCAGCCATTTGTACTACTCCTCTTCCTCTGCCCACAAACCCCTGACATCCACCAATCGGTACTCTATGACCTTAGTTTGCTGACAAACCTATGGCACACATGCTGTTTGTTGTCATTTAAAGCTCTAACTGGTTCACCGTTACTGGTAACCATGACTTCTTTTTTTTTTTTCTTTTTTTTTTTTTTTT